CATGCGTTCGCACACCCAGTACAGCGTTTCGTGGCCCCATAGGGAGCTCCACCGAAAGCCCAGTGGGGTGCCCGCATGCGTCCGCCACACCCGGTACGGCGTTCCGTGGCCCCATAGGGGGCTCCACCGAAGGCCCCAGGGGGAGTGCCCGCATGCGTCCGCCACACCCAGTGCAGCGCGGTGGCCCCACAGGGGGCTCCACCGAAGGACCCAGTGGGGCTAGGGAGCTCCACCGAAGGCCCCCACGGGCCTGCCCGCATGCGTTCGCCACACCCAGTGCAGCGTTTCGTGGCCCCATAGGGAGCTCCACCGAAAGCACCAGTGGGGGTGCCCGCATGCGTCCGCCACACCCGGTACGGCGTTCCGTGGCCCCATAGGGGGCTGGGAAGGCAGTGCGGTGGGGCTCCACCGAAGGACCCAGTGGGGCTGGGAGCTCCACCGAAGGCCCCCACGGGCCTGCCCGCATGCGTTCGCCACACCCAGTACAGCGTTTCGTGGCCCCATAGGGAGCTCCACCGAAAGCACCAGTGGGGGGCCCGCATGCGTCCGCCACACCCGGTACGGCGTTCCGTGGCCCCATAGGGGGCTCCACCGAAGGCCCCAGGGGGAGTGCCCGCATGCGTCCGCCACACCCAGTGCAGCGCGGTGGCCCCACAGGGGGCTCCACCGAAGGACCCAGTGGGGCTAGGGAGCTCCACCGAAGGCCCCCACGGGCCTGCCCGCATGCGTTCGCCACACCCAGTACAGCGTTTCGTGGCCCCATAGGGAGCTCCACCGAAAGCACCAGTGGGGGTGCCCGCATGCGTCCGCCACACCCGGTACAGCGTTCCGTGGCCCCATAGGGGGCTCCACCGAAGGCCCCAATGGGGGTGCCCGCATGCGTCCGCCACACCCAGTGCAGCGTCCCGTGGCCCCATAGGGAGCTCCTCCGAAGGCCCCAGTGGGGGTGCCCGCATGCGTCCGCCACACCCAGTGCAGCGCTTCGTGGCCCCATAGGGAGCTCCACCCACGCTCCCAGTGGGACCGCCCGCGTGCGCCCCCCCACCCAATACAGCGTTTCGTTGCCCAATATGGGGGCTCCACCGAGGGCGCAAGTGGCACCGCCCGCATGCGTCTCTACAACCCACCAGAGCGCGTCGTGGCCCCACAGGGAGCTCCACCGAAGGCCCCAGTGGGAGTGCCCGCATGCGTCCGCCACACACAATACAGGCGTTTCGTGGCATCATAGGGAGCTCCACCGAAGGCACCAGTGGGGATAAAAAGCTCCACCGAAGGCCCCAATGGGGGTGCCCGCATGCGTCCGCCACACCCAATACAGCGTTTCGTGGCCCAATAGGGAGCTCCACCGAAGGCCCCAGTGGGGGTGTCCGCATGCGTCCGCCACACCCAGTCCAGCGCGTCGTGGCCCCAGAGGGGGCTCTACCGAAGGACCCAGTGAGGCTAGGGAGCTCCACCGAAGGCCCCAATGGGGGTGCCCGCATGCATCCGCCACACCCTACAGCGCTTCGTGGCCCCATAGGGAGCTCCACCGAAGGCACCAGTGGGGGTGCCCGCATGCGTCCGCCACACCCAGTACAGCGTTCCGCGGCCCCATAGGGAGCTCCTCCGAAGGCCCAAGTGGGGGTGCCCGCATGCGTCCGCCACACCCAGTGCAGCGCTCCGTGGCCCCATCGGGTGCTCCTCCGAAGGCCCCAGTGGGGGTGCCCGCATGCGTCCGCCACACCCAGTACAGCGTTTCGTGGCCCCATAGGGAGCTCCACCCACGCTCCCAGTGGGACCGCCCGCGTGCGTGCCCCCCACCCAGTACAGCGTTTCGTGGCCCCATAGGGGGCTCCACCGAAGGCCCCAGTGGCACCGCCCGCACGCGTCTCCACAACCCACTACAGCGCGTCGTGGCCCCACAGGGAGCTCAACCGAAGGCCCCAGTGGGACCGCCCGCATGCGTCCCCCCCCACCCATTACCACACGCCCCATCACGCGTTGCGTGGCCCACCGGAAGCGGCACCCACACGCGTTACTCACAACTACATATGGTTGGGTCGTTCGCGAGGATATATGCGCGCTAATGCGGATAGGTCCACAAAAACCTGAAGAGCCCCAAAAAACTGGTTTACGATGATTGCTTGCCATTTGACCCGAACAACTTGTTCTACAATGGTTTGTGGTGAAAACCCGCTCGTGCGGAATCCTGGGGGTCGCGTGCCGTGTCCTTCCTGTTCCTCTTCCTCCTCATCCTCATCCTCCTCTTCTTCCTATTCCTCTTCCTCCTCATCCTCGTCGTCATCATTATCCTCCTCCTTTCCTCCTGCTTCTTCTTCTCTTTCCAGTACTCCTTATCCTCCTCCTCCTCCTCCTCCTCCTCCTGTTGCTTTTCCTCCTCATCCCACTTCGAACAAATCTTTTTGTACTCCGCCACACAAGGATTCCCGTTTCATGTCGCCACACAAAAAATCCTTTTTGGATTCTGCCGCAAAGGGAATCCTCGTCCGCAAAAAGATATCCTTGCATTCCGCCACATAAAGAATGCCTTGGCAATCCGCCACAGGAGGATTCCTCGTGTACTGTCGCAAAAGGCATCCCCTAGTATTCCGCCACAGAAGAAATCCTTCGTATGCTGACACAAAAGGGGGACCCTTTTGCGCTCGGCAACAAACGGATTTCCTTTGAATTCCGCCTCATAAGGAATCCATCCACAATCAACCACATAAGGTTTCTTTTGGTATTCTACCACAAACGGAGTCCCTGAGTAATCCACCACACAAAGAATTCCATTGTATTCCGCCACAGGAGGAATCCGTCAGTTTTCTGCCACAGAGTGAATGCTTCCGTTTTCCGCCACAAAGAGAACCCGCATACATTCGGCCACAAACGGATTCCCTTTGCATTCCAAGCGGGGCCATATAAGCACAGACGTGCAAAATTCAAGCTGAGATAGGGGATGAAGAAATTACCCGAAATGACAAAGAGAAGAGGACAGTGGAGACCAAGGGAGGAGGGTGGCTGAGTTCGGAGAGGGCAGGGACGATACTTTCCGTTCCCTCCTCCTCCTTGCCCCTGCGCGGGCGTGCCAGTAAGATGGAGGGCCGTACAATAGCTTGTTTGGGTTCAGGCCAGTCTGACGAGGCGGCGTGGCCGCCGAAAGCCAACAGAGTCCTCGCGCTACCATCAGGAACGAGGCACAAGGAACGAATGGGCTTTTATGGCTACGGCGAACCGCGGCCACGAATAGGTTCCCCGACCTAAGCTAACGAGAGGCCTGGAAACCAAAGCTCCCCATGAAATCCGAGGTGGTCCTTATCCCATCTAGACGAGCGCGTTCCACTGCTCGCAAAGTGACTACTCGCAAATGGCCTGGATCCGCCAGGGGGATCTACGAGAAATTACATCGAAGCAGACATGTGTTTTTCGGACGTTCGCGAGCAGGCTCTTTGCGAGTAGTGGAACGCGCTCGGTGACCAGCGTCTGACTGCGAAGCGAGCCCCCACGATCGGGGTACGCTCTCCCTTAGCCTGGCTGGGAAGCCAATTATCAACACGGATCCGTGGCCTGGAAATCGGCCCGACCAAGATCGGGCAGGTGTATCATCGACGCCCCCCAGCAGCAGTGGTCTCCCGCGCGCGACGTTCAGTGGTCATGAAGAGGAAAATTAGCGCACCGTGGCCAGAGGTACGTGCGCGGACGAACGGGGGACCAGGGAACGCATCGAAAGAAGGGTATGGGGCCATAAAGTGTGGCAGATTTCATGGCCCCCGCCTATGACATCCACACTCCTCTCTAGTCCTCACCTGAAACGAGGCGAAGACAGGGACGAAATAGGACAGGGACAAATCGGTGATCTCTGAGATCCGGCGGTTCTAAATAAATATGCCGCAACCGTTGCAAAGCGCTCCTCAACGCTCTGAGAGCGTTCCGGAACGCTCTGGAACGATTTACGCCTGTCCCAGCCCCGCCCAATCGCCTCCCTCTTGGACTAGAGGCGCCCCAGATGGAGTCCGAATATTTAGATGGGGTCGGAGGACCGCCGATGCATCGCCAATGCATCGGTCGGTGACGTCGGCGGTGCACTGGCGATGTGGAGAAAAGCGAGCTCCACATCGAGAGGCATCGGCGATGCATCGGCCATGCAGCGCGACCCTCCGACCCCGTCTGCGGGGAGGCAACAAACAACTGCTGAGACCGCTAGGATTAGGTCGGGCCTGTCCCCCTACAGGGGGATTTTCGGCGAAAAAATAAAAATAGACAAAAATACCCCCAAATGGCGAAACAATTCTCAAAAAATTGTTCCCAGACTATCTTTTGACTGTTTTTGAATATGCCTCCCGTAGAGGGACAGGCCCGACTTAGCGCTAGGGTGCGCTCTGACCGCAGCTTCGAGGAGAATCCAGCCGTGGCGGCGGGGACTCGCCTGGAGGAACAACGGTGTGGGTGTGTCTTCCTCCTCGCAATCTTACTCGGACCCCACGCAGGAGGTCCAGGTTTAGTACAATGGGAATCGGGTCCTGAGGGGACCGGGTCCTGGACCCCGGGGCCTTCCCCCACGACGAGATCTTCATCCTCAGCTGTTTTCTGGAAATCCCGAAGCCCGTGGAAGGCCCCGAGAGCCCGATAACGGTGAAACATCTCATGGCCAGTTTTTCTCCGAGCCCATTTCCTGCGTGGGGATTTATCCATATCCACCGCCTGGGAACCGACATCGTGGTGCCCCAACGGGCGGTCCGTGTCCGCCGCCTGCCGAAGTCCCCGAAAATTGATCCTCCAGGCGGCGGTCATGTATACATTCCCGCCTCGGATTTCCCCCATTGCGAATCTGGAAGGCCTAGATCGGTGGCGGCCAAGAGGGGGGCGTCCAAGAGTGGGGGGGCACAAGCCATGGCCGGCGGCACGAGCGCGGCCCAAGGGGGGGCCATGGAAAGCATCGAAATAAGAGGTGCCATGATATCCACCCCCCTTTGTCATCACCCACCTCTTTGCCGCCCCCAAATAGAAAAGAGCCGGACGGCCTCGAACCCCAGGGACGTCCTGGCACTCCGGAGCGCGGGGCGCCCGCGGCGGCTCCCCCGCTCCCAGCGGGGAGGCGGCGCAGAGGCTGCTGCTGAGCGGGTCCGTGTGCGCCTCTGGGGGGCAACGGTCAGACAAGCGCGTTTGATGGGGCCCTGGGATACGCAAATAAATACATGCAAGCCCTAGGACCCCCGCTGATTTTTCAATATTATCAACGTTTCCGTCTTCCCCCTCATTTCCCAAATTGTGTCTGCGTGCTTTCCTCTCCTGAGCGCCCCACTGCTCGCGCAACCCCCGCGGGCAGATGTAGGAGGGAGGCAGGAGGTTTGCTTTATGTGATCGCGCCCCAGCGGCCCCGAGCCCTGGCCTCGTGGCGCCACGGGGCGCGAGCAAAACCTCGGCGCGGACGCCGAACGGCTCGGCGCGTCGCACCGCGACGACGGGTGCGGCGCTCGACCCTGGCCGCGCGCAGCGGTGCCCCGAGCCGACGGCGGCTCGGGCACTCGCCTGCGTCGCCAGCCTAGCCGAGCGCCCAATGCGAACGCCCCAAGCCGAACGGCCGCCAAGGGAGCGGCGGGCGGGCAAAAGCCGCACCGCAGGTGCCCCTCGCCGAATGTGGCGGGACGCCCCCCCTGCCGAGCGCGCGCGGCGCCCCTCCCATCACTGGGCGGCGCTCGCGCTCCCTCGCGCGCTCGCCCATGCAAGCAGGCCGGACTGCGCGATGCCCCGCGCAAAGCTTGGGCTCGCGTCGCCCCGCGCCGCTGCGCGTCGCGCGGCGCCCCCCCCTTCCGCCCGGCATGGGGGCTGGGGTGGGGGCGCCCGCCCGGCTGTTTCGCGACCGCGATCAACGTTGCGCGATGACCGCCCGCCACAAGACCTTCGCGCGGACGTCAAACGGCTCGGCGCGTCGTGCCGCGGCGATGGGCGCGGCCTCGGCGGGCTGCCCAGCCGCGCGCGCCACGCGCGCGCAGGCGCAGACCCAGCGCGCCGTGCGCCGGAGCGCCAGAGCGCGCGATCCAGCAGGCATGAAGCCCAGTCTCTTTTCCTCACGCATCGCTGTCGGAAGAGCAATTGTCCCTTGCTTCGAGAACAGCGTCCCGCGCGAGAGACTCAACGGACACATGCTCTATGAAGGCAGCGCTGCGCCAACCGCCCGCGCAGCATCTCGGCCAGGCCAGGCCCGCGCTCGTTTAAGTCGAGCGCGTGCCCGCGGCGAAATGCCTTTGCGTCAAATCCCTCCGCGCGAGCCGCGCCCGCCGCCCTGGCCGCAACTCGGACGGCGGCCGCGGCGTCGGCGGGGGAGAAGCTCGCCAAGGCCTGAGTGCCCACGCCCGCTTGCTAATGCGCCGAGGACGCGCGCTGGGCACGTGCTTTCGCCGCCGTCAGTCCGGCGCCAGCACTTGCGCAAAATCTGAACAAGCGGTTTCGAACTCTTCAGCCGCTGCAAACGTAAACCTTACGCCTCTGCTGAGAGGCGCACCGATGCCTGGCGCCGCTCGTTGAACGCCGAGCCATCGAAGACGGTGGGCAAGCCCTCGCTCGGTAGGCGTAGCAGAAGCGCATGCCCGAAACACGTGAGCATCGCCGCGCCCCTTCTGGCGAATGCTGCCACCGGGCCCGAAATGCTCGCATCGACGATTCTGCGAAGAAGGGCGTGCTGCACAAAACGTTTGACTCTCGGGGGCGGGGGCACCTCTTCGCAATGCCCAATCGCGCCCACTTCGCGGATCGATCGCCGATGGCGGCCGTCGACGCCGACAGCAGCTCGGGCGCCGCGCGCCAGCGCCCGCAATTTCGCGAACGCGCCGCTCGCGCGGAACAGCGCACCAGCGATCTGGAGGTCCTCCGCATATGGGAAAGGGAATCCCGCCCAGGGACGCATCTCGAGAATCGCGAGACCGCCATCGCACTGCGGAGGCCCAGCACTTCACTCACCGAGGACAGCTGACAAACGCCGCGTCCAAGCGCGCCCTCGTGGCGAAACGCCGGCGCTCGGGCGGGCGCATTGCTGCGGCGCCGTCGAGGGCGCGCCGCGGCCTCTCGCTGGGCGCGGCCAACTGGTTTGCGCATGAAACAGCATATTCAACCACGCCCTCGACCGCTCTCCGAGCTCGCGAGCCCTCCGCAGGGTCGCCGTGCGCGTCGCCAGGGCGCAACGCCGCGCACGCTTGCTTCGGCGCCGTCGCGCACCTTCGCGCGCCCCTAGGCCTCGGTCGCCAGCCCGGCGGCGGCCCTGGCGGAGGCCGCGGGCGCGCTGCGACGCTTGCGCCAGTGCCCGCGGGCGGAGGGCCCAGGGGAAGACGTGGCCCTAGGCTATCCTGCCTTTCGGCGCGCGCCGCCGTTGCCCCGGCGGTCGGGGGTCGCGCGGGCGGCGCTGCCGCTGCTTCGCTGCGCCGCTCGCACCGACCGAAGGAGAAACCCTCGAGAGCCAGCGTGCCCCTGTGAATGCTCTTCGTCGATGGCCCCGCGCGCAGCCGCGGTGCGCGGCGGCGAACGGCCCGCGGGCGCGCCGCCCAGTCGCGAATTCGCTGCTGCGCGGCGATAGTTAAGGCCAACTGAAGCGGGCATCGACGTCTGCCAGATGCTTCCAGCGAAGCGCATCCTGCGATTAAAGATACGCGACCAGCTTGGCGTACATGGCATGCGGTCGCCCCGGCAGTCGCACGCCTGGCCTCGCTTGCCGCCGCGGTCGTTCCCCGCCGAAGGCTCCTGGAGGGGCGCCGCTGCCTTCGCTGGTTGGCACTGCGCCGCGTCGGACGCGGCGTCGGCTGCTCGCAGCAAGCCCTCGCCCCAAGTCTGCGCAGCGCGGTTCGTCTTCAACGCCGAATGCAAGCGGGGCGAGCGCAAAGACGCGCGCGCGTCGCACGGGCCTCAAAGTTCGGGCCACCCGCCCTGGATCGATCTGCCCACGAGCGGCGCGCCGCCGCGCCGATGTGCAACGCCAAGGCCGGTCGCCCGTTAAGAGAACTCGCGCGCGCGGGCACCTGCGCCGCGCCCGCGGGGCCGCGCCGCCGCGCGCCTCGGGCCAAACGCGCCTGCAACACGTGCTATTCATGACAGCGCAAAGACATCGAGCTCGGCCGATCGCCCAAGATCGCTGCCGCGGCCGCGTGCGCATCGCAAGATGCGTGACACTGATTGAACGGCAGCAGCCCCCACTAGGCCCCCGCCTCCAAGGGATCCGCCTCCGCCCCCGGCGCTTTGCCCGAAGCCCAGCAGGGCAGAAATGCCTGCGACGCGCGCCAACAGGGTGAGCCGCGCGGACGCGCGCGGAGCGATCTCGCCTTGAGGCCCGGCGAAACGCGCGGGCGGGCCACGCGCTCGCGCCGCGGCTTTGCTACCTGAGCCTCCAGGGCGTCGACCGCAGTAGACGGTGGCCAGACGGGCGGCGGCAGGTCGCGGAAGGGCGCCTGTCGCCCCGACGTTTGGCGAAGCGCGCGGCCAGCGACCGCGCCGCCGCCCCCGCCTGACGAACGGCGGGCCCAGTCGCCACGTGCTTGGCGGTCGGTTCGCGCGTAGAACGCAGCGCTTCTTCGAGACGGAAAAGATCCCTCGCCGCCGGCGCGACCCGCCCCTCGCCTGAGCCTTCTGCTCGCGCGCCGCGCGGGCCAATGCTTTGACGCACCCCGCCTGCCGGACCGCGTCGGCAGGCCAGCGGCCCCCGCGCGTCGGGCGCCCCCCTTTCCAGCCGAATCGAAGCCCATCAGCGAGCCCAGCTCCGCCTCGAGCAGGTGGGCCCAGCGAGCGACGTCGCCCTGATTCAGCGCCTCGGCCAAATACTTGTAGAACTCTTCCCCCCGCGGGGCCTCGGACTCGGCCTTGGCCGCCCAATCATGAAAGGCAACCTCCGCCATGGCAATCGCGCTATTGCAAACTCCGGTCCCGCGAGCGGAAATGGTGTCCTTTGTGCTGCACCGCGATTGCCCGGCCACCGCCGCGCCGCGCGCAAAGCCCGACGCGGCCGCCAGGGGGCCGAGGCATCGCGCGGTTCACGCGCGAGATCGCACCCACCCCCACGGGCTCGAGAGCCACGCCACACATGCGCAAAGACGCGGCGAGGGCCCAGGAGGCACGCCTCACACGCGCAGAAAAGCGGCCACCAGCTGGCGCAGGAGACGCGCCTCACACGCGCAGCAAAGCGGCCACCAGTGGGCCCGGGAGACACGCCTCGCGGCCACCAGTGGGGCAATGAGACACGCCTCACACGCGCCCAAAAGTGGCCACCAGTGGGCCCAAGAGACACGCCTCACACGCGCACAAACACGGCCACCAGCGGGCCCAGGAGGCACGCCTCACACGCGCCCAAACGCGGCCACCAGTGGGCCCAAGAGAAACACTTCACACGCGCACAAACGCCGCCATCAGTGGCCCCGGGAGACGCGCCCCACACCATATCAAACGCGGCCACCAGTGGGCCCAAGAGACGCGCCGCACACTTGCGCAATCGAAACTAGCATCGGGTACCGGAGACGCGCCGCACGCGCGACCAAACGCGGCCACCAGTGGGCCCAGGAGACACGCCTCACACGCGCGCAGAAAAGCGGCCACCAGCGGGCCTAGGAGACACGCCGCACACGTGCAGAAAAGCGCCCGCCAGTGGGCCCACGAGGCGCGCCTCACACGCGCACAACCGCGGCCCCCAGTGGGCCCAAGAGACACGCCTCACACGTGCTCAAATTTGGCAACCGGTGGGCCCAGGAGACACGCCTCACACGCGCGCGTATGCGGCCCCCATGGGCACAAGAGACACGCTTCGCACGTGCTCAAACGTGGCCACCACTGGGCCCGGGAGATGAGGGTCCGCCGTCCGCGCGAAAACGATTCGCGCGAAAACTGCGGCCGTTCGAGCGAAATTCGCTGCGCGCGCGCGCGCGAAAAGGTGCGCGCCGGTTCCTGGCGTTCCCGCGGCTGCCAGGAACCAGGATTTTGCAACGCGGCGGCCGCCGCGGCGGCCACCGCCTCCTCGGCGCAAGGCGGCGTCGATGCCAGGGGCCCACGGCGGCCCAGAGGAGGGCGGGAACCTTGATTTTGGAGAGATCGAGGCTGGAAAAGCTCAAATTCCCGGTTCCCGGCTCTGTCTGGCGCCCGAGGGACCCACGGCGACCCAGAGG